TTTGCTCATTGAACTTTATACGTTGCTGCTAAAATTTCATATTGAAATATTTCGAGTATATTTTTCGGTTTTATAACAATTATAATAATTTTTCTGATTATAAATCATAATATAAGAATTATCATCCACGGTTAAGAAAGTAAATAATTATCGTAGATGGCAGATGCGGCGTAAAATGTATTAACAGTCAATCGGCTACCAGTTATAAATGACTTAAACGTTCTCGTTAAAAGCAACACGGAAAAGTTTCTGGATTATTCTTAGTCATTAAAATTATTATCAAGTATCACGGTCCACCTTAAACGATAACTCACGTTTTATGGGAATCGGATGACGTTGCTCAATCGAGACATTTGTCTCAACGCTGACATAGATATAAAGGAATTTTAAGAGCTAACTCGACGAATATCTCAGAGTAATTCTTAGCGTCTTTCGCTCTGATTAACAAAAGTGACAGATATAATCGAATGAATATATATATATATATATATATATAAACATGTTAAGCCGTATGTGAAATTGTATCTCTGCATGATGTTTCCATATTTCTTTCTTTTTTTTTTTATTTTTTTAGATAAATTCTCGAATGAGTCAAAAAGGTATAAAAAGGCAAAAAAAAAAATAAAGAAAGATTAGTAATACCTTCGACAACTGTCATATGTTGGTGACGTCACACGTTCACTGACTGTTCCATAATCGAAGTTTGATACTGGCATGTTTCAATCGGTCACGAGTCCTCGAGGGCTCCTGCTTCTAGTGTTCAAAATTGTTCGAAACTAAATCAATCGAATTTTTTTGACGATTTTGGCCATTGACAGAATACAAGAGTTCGGATTTTCAAAACGGAATTTCTCTAACGAACAAAAATAGTCCACCTAAAGTAGTAGGTGCTTCGAGAGAATGACTGGAACGTTCGTCAAAGCTCTTCTTTTTTCTTTTTTTTTTTTTCTCTTTCTCTCTCTCTCTCTCTCTCTCTCTCTCTCTCTTTCTCTTTTTCTCTCAGTCTTTCTCTTTTTTTCATGGGTTAGTTTATAGGAAAAACAAAACAAAAAAAAGAAAAGGAAAGAACACAAAAAAGTGGAGTTTCCGGAGCGGCATGGTGCAAACGATCCAATGCTGTTTCCCTTCGCAAGCTGTTGCTGCTGCTGCTGCTGCTGCTACTGCTGTTGCTTGTGCTGGTGCTGCTGCTGCTGCTGCTGTTTGCTGCTGCTGGGCTAACCGTTTAGCACCCAAGAAAATCAACAGCAGCCTCAAAGAGCCTTTTCAAATAGAGCGTTACGCTGTTCGATTAGCGTTGGTGCACTAACGATCGAAGTTCGAAAAGGTTCGAAAAAAAGAGGACGCTGTTGGACACACGCGTGAACCTGCGTAAATTCGATTTCATGATTTTCTGTATTTTCTCTCTTTGTCTCTCTCTTTCTCTCTCTCTCTCTCTCTCTCTCTCCTACTTCTCACCCTCCCTTCTTTTTATCTATCCCTTTACAAATTCGTTCCTTTTCTGTAACTTGCAATACCACAGTCGCCTTTTCTATCATTCTTGAAATTACCATTCAAACGTATATACATTTGCTGCTCATATTCCACTTATCGCCTAGTAATACCGTGTAAATTAGTAGTCTGTAGAATATGGGTCATCCATGAGGATGAAAGGAAAAAAAAAAGAAAAAGAAAAAAAAAGAAAAAGAAACAAGATACACTCGTTCTTTGAATTAAAGGCTTAACTTCTATATTTTTTTCCCTTTACACTTCCGTTTTTTTCCTACGTAAAAAAAAAGAAAGAAAAACAATGGAAAAAGAAGAAGAAGAAATACTTAACATTCGTTAAATAATAATTAACGAAGTCGAACACACGGGAGTCGTCGTAAAATTTATTAAGCGAAGAAAAAAAAAAGGAAAAAAAAAAAAAAAAAAGAAAAAATAGTGAATATCGAGGGTAACGATCGTGAAGCGAGAAAATATTCTATGTACTTATTCGTGCCGTTCCAATGAGAAAATAACGTTACGAGATGAAACCGTCTAGATCAAATTCAAAAGAACAAAACGAAGACGGTTTCTCTCGGTGTTCATTGATTCGGAACGGACAGTGATTAATAAATAAACGAACGTATTCGGCGTCAGCACGTATATGTAGTATCTACCTAGGTGGGTAGGTAGGTTGGTAGGTAGGTAAGTAGGTAGGTGTACGTAGGTACTACGAGGATGTTTCTTTCGTTCTGAGACCGAGGGCAAGATAACTATGCATAAATACAACATAAAACGCGGTCATAAATTATGGATTCATAGAGATAAATTTGTTCGGTGGCGCCCGTGTGAGAAGAAGAATCGCTAGCTAAAGTGAGAGAGAGAAAGAAAATGATAGAAAGAGAGAGAGAGAGAGAGAAAGAGAGAGAGAGAGAGAGAGAGAGCAAGAGAGACTTCGTTCAAGAAGTCGGGATATCATACTTACAATGTGAAGGATTAAATCTTTTGTTCGTGTTTTCTTGCGTGCGAGAAAATGACG